TATAAAGGTCCCACATGGCTCGCGTTGCACACGATCGCAGCGTGGCCCTGAAGGTGGCATCTTTTTTCTCTGCAGCTTCTTGACATTCCTTATTGTACCAGTGGTTCTTTCGGTCTTGCTGAAATCCGTCTACTTCTTCGACGGTGGTACTTAAGGAGCGGGGAATGTAGTTCCACTGCTCGCGTATGTCAGTTTGTTGAAGAGTTCTCTCAGACAGCAGGTGTGAGAGTCGAGTGCCGAATAAATTGGCCGTCTGTTGTGATTGCAGCTTTTCGATGTTAAGCTTTCCTTGCATTGTTGGGCGCACATTTTTTGCTGCACAGGGCGGGTGCGTAACTTGGCTGCAACAAGATGGTGGTCCGAGTCGATGTTTGGCCCTCGCAGAGTACGTACGTCTAAAACGTTGGAAGCATGCCTTCGTCTATCACAACATGATCGATTTGGTTTCTCGTTTTTCGATCAAGAGATAGCCATGTAGCTTGATGGATCTCTTTATTCTGGACTCTAGTACCACATATTACCATGTTTCGGTCCACGGCGAAACCTCAGTCCGTTATCGGACATTACGTCGTGGAGGCTGAATTTTCCGACAGTGGCGCCAAAGATTCCTTCCTTGCCCACTTGCGCCGAGCACGATTTTGATATCGTGTTTGGGGGCAGCGCTCATATGTTCGTTCCAAGCGCTCATAGAAGAGATCCTTGGACGCCTCATCCTTCTCTTGCGTCAGGGCATGGGCGCAGATGAGCGAGATGTTGAAGAACCTAGCTTTTATGCGGATTGTGCACACGGATCCATTCCTCAAGAGGGTTGCCATATGTTTTAGACAAAAAATTCAACTTGGATTAAGCGAATTATATACACAATTTAAATATATATAGCAATATGTGTGTCAGTCGAAAACCGGTTGCCACCTGTTTTAAAATTCGAATTTAGTTAAACTATGCATAGATTAAATGAACTATTAAAATATGACGTGAAACGAAGGTGGAAAGATATCCTTAGTTTGATTATTTACAACATTAATGAGGGTTGCCACCTGTTTAAAAAGGTAAAAGCAAATTATTTAATAAGTTGAAGGATTTATTAAAGATATGGCTATCAAATGAAACGGATTTAAAAAGGCTTTATTTCTGGACTGTATTTAGGACGGCTGCCACGTATTTGAAAAATCAAATTTAACTCAATTCATCAGCTACATGAAATATGTATTAACTATATTTAGTAGGGTTGCCAGCTGTTTCAGAAGTCTTAGCAAACTTATGCACAAATCCAAAGACGAAGATAATGGAAACATGAGCACCAAAACAAAGAAGAATACTAATGCGGGGACCTAGGCTAATATAAAAAGTAATAAAAATTTCTACAGTAGTTATGAAGGGAAATATATCTGGTTATAAGCTGATGGTATATGATTGAAGTTTAACTTGAATGTGATCTTAATAATAACACGTATTCCACGTTTAAGTTTAGCGGCTGTGGCTCGGACACAGCCCGCAGGTCTAGACGAAGGCGCTGGACTGATCCTTTTTCATTTTATTTTTACCACACCGAATTGAGGGCTAAGAAATTTCCAACGTTAGATCTTATCTTCACTTTTTTCACAATTTTGGATTTACGGTAGAAATGTAGCGCCAGGGGTCCAGTGTAACCAGTAAAATTTTTAAAGTGATCCACGAGAAAAGAAAGTTTGGGTTAGATATTAATCTTGCAAAATCGTCAATACTTAAGTATAATTACCATTAAATGTCCTGATGCCTACTTTTAGTGAGATGAGCACCTCCCCCCTAAGGGCTCATAGAGATAGAAATATTTTAAATGAAATGTCATAAACGAAAAATACGACATCTACAATAAAAATGTGTTGATACCACATAAACTTCTTTATTAAAACGTTAAATGACCGAAATTATTTCCCTCAAATTACATACCTTGCCACCTTCATTATGTGTAAGCAACAACATCAATTTCAATATTGAAAGTGTTTTAGCTCAATATGTACATGAGAAATCCACCTCCGCATACATATTCTGTCCCTCAATTCTTCCCATGCTCGTTCCTTTTACATTTAAGTAAACTGTTTGGAAACCAATAAGTCAATTAAGAAAATTGGTTTCCATGCAGTTCATTGCTTTTGCTTTCAGCAAATCACTCAATACCACTCCAACTTCGCTGCCACTACAATCTTGGCAAAATCTCAAAGGATGTTGGCGCGTAGAGAGATATGCTAGGGTGGCAGCGAAGACAAACAAGCTCATGTTGGATGAATGATTGAATCTTAAATAAATGTAAGGTGACTAAAAGCAAGAACAAATAAGTAAAAACTTTTGCGAAGTAGAATATCTTCTTTTCATTGCTGTGGAGTTAAAGGTGAAAAAGTGTGATGAAAAGGATACATTACACAGTACAGAAAGATACTCAAAAGCTAAGCCATTGGCAGTTATCATTAAAATCTAGCAGCCATTAAAGCAAAACTCAATCAGCCACAAGAACTTTAATGTATATAAGCTGTATTAAAAAAAAAAAATAAAACAAACAAACATTACAACTGCAGTTGTTAGCTGAATTAAAGGTTATTGTAAGTTTTTATGTACGTACTGTAACCATACATATAGTACATATATACATATATATGTATATACAAATACTCGTAGAAGCATAAATGTTTGTGTGTTTGAGTGCAAAAGTTTACACAACGCCATATGCTTTGCTCAGCTGTGTGGTGTCACCACCTTTTTGGTTTTCGCATTGTCGGCTTGTCTCCTCGGTTGGCCTGCCGCGCTTTGCTTGAATTGGAAAAGCACCGCTGAACTGTGGCAAACTACTCGTACATGGCATTGTTGTTGTTATTACAACTGTTGTTACTTTTGTTGTTGTTGTTGCTGCTAACCTCTACATTCCCGTTCTTGCTGCCTTAACTGGTTGGTGAAATCATTGCACACGCATTGCGCTGGTTGTTTGCGTTTAATTAACTGTGGAAAATTTAATGGATTTTCACTTTTATCACTTTGCGTGTGTCAACGATAGCAAAACCGGAGCGATAAGCATTGGTGGTTATGGTAAATTGGTGAACAGCGATGGTGAGGCAAATGATGGTGGTGACATTGTGGCGTTGGTTTGAGTGATTGAATGATGGGCGTGAATTTGGTATCTAGATATGTTTGGTTTTTTGAAAATCTATTTTTAGGCGCGCGACCATTGCATAAATGCTACGCTAGAATTAAATGTGCAAAGTGGAATTGTTGCTTTGGTTTTCAAAGAAACAAAAAATCATAAGACATGCTTTTTTTAATACAGAAACTAGCATTGAATGTAGGCACGAACTCTGGATGTTGAAAGGCTTCTTTGACTATATTTTCCTAATCCTTCAGGTTTAACTAAGAGAAAAGGCGAAAAAAGATTTTTTTTTTTTTGGCACGAAAGTCTACCTTACCACCTTTCATGTTAAAAAGATCTTTTGGTCGTTTTACCGATTTTCTGTTTCGACTCAAAGTGGGTTAAACCGACCGGAAGTAGTGCATTTTTAAACAGGATATATATATTTTTGCCATAGATACGGAATCTGCGCATAAAAACACAAAACTTTTGTTGGAATCTTTTTTCTGGAATGGACTTTCGGTATATTTAATACGCTTCCGGTCGAACCAAAAATTAGAGCATCCCCGACTTGGTAATTCATATTTTTTGCTTTCCAATAAAAATATATTTTTTTTTTTATTTGAGAATTTCGAAGGTCATTTAAAGGTTAAAAAAGGCACTTCCAAGAAAAAAGTTTCAAACAAAAGTTACGTATTTTTATCCCCTGAATCCGAATTAGTAGGAAAAATTAATATATGTCTAATGAAATAAAAATGGCCTTCCGCTCAGTAATATCACCAAAAGATAGTGCATCACTGAATTGGAAGGTCGTATTTCATTAAAAAACATTTCCGTTCATTTTATAGGGGGTGGACGGGTGGTTTAACACACCCTGTATATATTTTTTTAATTTCATCTAAGTTTTAGAAACTTATTTTTTTACGCTTAACCACCTACCATACGTCTTAAACATCCCATTGAGTTGAGGATCAGACGGTCTGCTGGGTTTCGCTTGAGAATCGGGATGGTTTAAAAACATGTAGGGATAGGCACGATGAAACCCTCTTATGGGCATCGCAATGGATCTTTATGGCTTCCGAGTGAATTCTTTCAGAGCTGCCGTCATAAAATTATCTAACCGAAGCTAATCTAAGTTTCTTCCGGACATTGGTCACTAGGTCACCGTGGTAGTTTTATAGAACTTCGCCTTCTTAAAACCTTCCGTAAGTCACCTGGGTGAGGTTAGGTTATTCTGGCTGGCTGACCGCCCCACATAGACCAATAGGTCTCCTAGTTATGTCAGACGGTTGTAGAAATTTTAGTTGAGTACATTTGAAGTAGACATTATTTAGGATGTGCATAGCACATAGTTAGAGTACAAAGATTCCGGCTTTTTGATTTTGAGGATGATATCCTGTGCACGTTCGGCGTTTTTTTCCTTGGCATTTAAACCACCTTCCACCGCTCCTCTGACATTTAACCCAGTGGTTTGCTTCGTCAATAAGTATCACCGCTGTAGCTTTTGACGTTGTGGGTTTTTGACCGTCGCATCCATAAAATCGCTCTCCAAGTAGCTTTGCCTTTTTGTCATTGCCTCCTCAATCGGGCTTGCGAACACCGGAACTAAGGGTTTTTTACTTGTCCTTGTCACAAAGTAAGCTAGCCCGCTTTCAATTTCGGACTTAGCCCAAACCAGTCGTTCCCTCTGTCTTAGCTACTAGTAGTAAGTCGCTTAACTTTTTGCTCATTTTTTTGCGCTTCTTTGCTATTGGTCAGATTTTCAAGCTGATCGGACTCACATATTTTGGGCTCTAAATTTTTATTATGCAAAAATGGTTGTGTATTGGTCCGGCATAGTTCGCGCTGCGTCTGGTCGCAGCATGGCCCTGTAGGCAGTATTTTTCTCTGCGACTTCGTGACGTTCTTCATGATGCCAGAATTTCTTTCGGGCTTGTTGGTATCCGACTACCTCTTCGGTAAATAAGGTCCGTCTGCGCTTGCCTATGTCGATTNAAGTATGATATAATTAGGCAAAATTTTTGCCCAAAAAACTTCTCCTAGAAAATATGGGCCGTTCGTTGAAGGCCTCATGCCGTAGATCATTTCATTTATATTGGCAACATGAAGAAGCTCCACCACATACACATTACAAATGAGTCTGCGCGAAATATTAATTTTTTGTTTAAATCATTAACAGCCATGCACGCACGCAAGAAATTAAATTTTTTTTTCTAATGCACCTAATGCACTATAAATTTAGAATTACACAGAAACCTATAGAAGCTCAGTCTTCACGCTGTCATAAATGCAATTGAAAAGTCCTTAGTGAAACCAATGATAAAGCAGTAAGGGCGCTAGGATAATTAGCGCGCACGCAAATGAACATAGTACACAAGTGAATAGAAATGGCCATTAATGCTAGTGTTGAATGCGTTTTGAACCTAAAACGGACTGAATGGACAATAAATGGCCAGGTGATGCTGAGGTATGCTACTGTAAAAGGTATTCCATTACGACTACATAACACTCAGCGCTCGTACCAGCAAACAAAGGCGACATTGACGCGGCAGCTTTGCTGTAGAACTCAAACTAATTGAGTCGCTAAGCGGCATGTAAACATGAGTGGGAATAATTTTCGCACTTTTTCTGGTCATTTAACGTTTTTGATTCTCCTTTGCCATTTTTGCGGGGTCTACAGGAAAACATCATTTATGCCAGTACATTTCTAATGTGATTTTTTTTCTGATTTTTCTTTTACACAATTTTTGTTCGTTGCTTTTATCAGCATGTTTTATTATTCATCGGCATACCAACACAGCTCTCTAAGGCTCTAAGGATATCAGGATAGAGATGCGCGCATTACGCGTGCAAAAGGTACTCCAAAGAGCAATGCGTGAATTTTTGCTGGCTCATATAGCCGACATGTATGTACCTATGTACGTTTGTGTGCGTGTTTGTAAACCCGCATTTGTATGTACAAATGAAATCTTCATGTTGCAAATAAGTTAATTTATCAAAATCCCTAAATGATCATCAATGTTAGGTTGTGTCATGTTGCAGGTCAGTGCTGGTGTCGGTTGCTCTCGCATAATAAACATGTTTATTTCATTACACATTTTCGGGCGCGAATTTTTTATTTCACTTTTTTCTTTCACCAAACACGCACATAATATGATCTATCCATAGTGATTTTCTTTTTTCTTTTTTTTTTGCACTTACAACATTTCTGCCTTAACATAATTTTTTCTATTAATTCACATTTGTACAGCTGCGCGCTACTCAGCAGCCATTTA